TCTCCCGCACGAGCGGCTAAAAGGATGATGGGAAATATTCTCCCGCGCCGACCGACTCATGCAGGCGCTGGTGCTCCTGTGCTTGGGACCGGAGCCGGCTGGCGCGCCGTCCCGCTCACACCAGAATGAGAAAAGGAACCGACTGGCCCGGCGACCGACCAGTCTAGCAGTCACCGATGCAAGTAACGAACCACCGAACGGAAGAACGAAACGATCGAGTGTTGAACCCCTTCCGAAGCTTCTTTCGGTCGTACAATGCTTTCCCTCGAACAATCCTCTTGTTTTCTACCGTTAGGCACGTACGACATGGAGGCAGTCCGACCCTGGCTCTGACAAGCCGTTGTCGCAGTCGCAGTCGCAGTTGCACTTGTTGTTGCTGCTGCAGCTTCTGCTGTACTCGTTCAACCTATCTCACGGCTGCAAGTACGCACAGATGGAGTCGTAGCTGGCAGAGGTGTGGGTTTCCAGCACGTTCTCCATTCAAGTGCAAAAATTGAAACCGCCCCAGAGAGAGCACCCAGAACATCCAATAAATCTTGCAATAGATGAGCCCGGGTGTGGCTCGACTCTATTCTCGTCTCTGCACCTGCAAACGACGTGGCATCCTCGCGCTTGAACTCAGACGATGCCTTTCGGTTCGCGCAGATATTTTGTTTCGAGGCCACCCCGGCCAGAGGTTCCCTTGGCCAGTATGAACGGAATGGAAAACGGGAGCGCCCGGACGCTCAGAGGTCGGATGCTCGAAATCCTCGGCCGAAAAAAAAATGAACTCGGAGCTCTGACCCCATGCGTACCTGTACCTGCGCATACGGCGGGATGATTCAGATATGAGGTCAATCGTGGAGTTAAGCTTTCTTCCATTCGGGGCACAGTCCGCTCGTCTGACGGCGGGTCATTTTATTCAGAAACTCATTTACGGGAAGTATCCATTTTGAAATGAGTTAAAATTCTTCAAAATGTCGACGGTAGTCAGTTCGGAAGCGTTCGATGCGTGCGTAGGTGTGTGAGGGGGGCAGAGAGACGCGCGTTTCCTGGCACGTTGTGCGCGGCGCGTTTTGAAAACGTGCTCCGCCCTTAAAGCTATTAATTTATTAGCGTTACGTTGTGACTCCGCCACCGTCGCTGGACTTTTCGAAGCGGGTCGGCGGATCTTTTGAAAGTTTCGAAACGAAAAACCCCACGTTCACCCGCTGTCCACCCTCTTCGAGCCGCAGTCTCTCTTTCCCCCGCGTTCGGGCGTCCGAATTCCCAGTCCCTTCTGGTGCTGCTTCAGGGAGTCTGTGTTCGAGACGCATAAGCGTAAAGTGCGTGAGCGCGAGAACGGTGGCGGGCCCGCCGCTCGGCAAGAGAATCGCTCCATGATTTCGAAGCCCCCGCTTCTGCTTGCGTGGCCACCGCCGTAAGAGGGACCAGGCTTAGGGTTAGAGGCAGGGTAAAGGCTGCTACCGCCGCCGCTCTAGAGGCTTAGCAGGTTAACAAAGTTCAAAGTAACTTTCCGGCGGGGAAGCGGCACGCACATTTGTCGGGCTGATTCCCTCGACGATCGCTCGTTGGGGAACAACGGAGGGAGGGAGAATAAATTGGCGTGAAAATCAGGAGCGTGACATCCATTTTAGGTGTACAATCGGAAATTACTGATACAAGCGGAATGCGTCGCGAAGCTCCCGTCACGTTTTACGACATCGGACCCACTCCCCCGACGACGGTGCGACCGATCGGATCCCGGTGATTCCCATGGTTGGAACTTCGCGACTCGCGCAGTCTTCAAAGCTTCGTGTCGCGACTCTTGGGGGGACGTGTTATGTTCAGTGGAATAACACGTCACCAGTTATCTAGATGGCCACTCAATTTTCGAATGTGTGGATGTGCATAAGACGAGTGAGAGATATGTACGAACTGTCATAGCTAGCGCAACTTTAGTGGATCTCCTTGTCAAAGATCTGGTGACCAGCACAGGAACGGGGAAATGCGGCGTGAATATCGCGTCCGCTCGGCCAAACTACGGTGTCGTCGTCTGTCGATCATAAGTTTAAAACGGTGCCCGCGCGCGGCGGCGGCGGACAGGGCTCTGACGATAAGCCCTACGTCATTGTAGTGACTTGACGACGGTCATGAGCCGACTGACCGGAGCTCTCTCTGGTTAGCGTTGGTGGTCCGGGGAGTTTGGCGGTCCCAAAGCCGCGCGGCTTTTGAGCTCCGTGTACCACTGCCAGTCAAGGGTGGTAGAGCGCATGGTGGTGGGGGATAGGGTGGATCGGCGGTTCGCACGCTTGTGCAACTCAACTATCGTTCCCCTCCGTGCGCTTCAGAAGTTTTCTATGCGGCGAACGACGCTGACGGCGATGGTCGGAAAAATTCGAACAATCGACACGATGAACCCAGCGGTGGGCAGCCGTGATTCTTCCCCTTTTCAGTTTTCCCGCCGATCGAAACTCTTCCTCCACCGCCTCGGCTCACTCGCTCGGCCCACTCGATCCCTGGATCGCTCCATTTGGTCGAGAGAAGTAGCTCGAGAAACGAATTTCCCGCGAAGAAGTGGAATTTCCCTTATAAGGAGTTCAGAGGCACCTACAGAGCACTAGATTTTCAAGATCTTCATATTCTTTCGATCGTGTGGATGATATTTATGCTTCCACCCGAAGGGTCTCAAACAGTCATCGAGTCTCAGGCTCTGATGTGAGTCATCTGCGGAGGTCCCTCAACGTATTAACACGGAAGTGTGTTCGCAAATTACGCGGAAAAGCTCAATGGTTTAGGGTAACTCTCAAAATATCAGCAATGCCATGGCGCAGCGGGAGGATCCCGCTGGTGACCGATGGCACGATCGAGCTACTTGACTCGCTCACCGCGAAGGTAGGCGGAATTCTCAGTCAGACTTCGTCCGCGATATCGAAATGATTCCGTGAACGGCGCGGGGGCGGCAAGTGAGAGCGCGTCAGAGACTGTGATCGAGCGTGGATATTTTCGCATAGGGTTGATTTGATTTCAATCGGATCTCACGGATGCAATCATACCGATCAGAGATCACTGATCGGAGTCCGGTGGTACCGATCGGATATCGCTCCCTTCGGATCGGTATCTCCTCGAGTGACTGTATTCGTGACAGCGCTCGATGGGTTGTTTGTGGTACGCCTTCCATATTTGCCGCCGAAAACAAGTTTCCGAGGCGGGCTATGAAACTATCGATCCGGTCAGCAGACTGTCACGCTAGAGGACGGCGTTCCAGTCAGCGGGCGGTGGACGCTGGAAAGCGATACCCAGTCTTTATACCCGGAAAAAGCTTCTCCTTCTGCGGCCGTCTTGCTTCCCTGACCATGCTCTTGCTCGAGCGGCCGCTATAATCCTAGTTCTGCACAAAAAGCCTAATTAAGCTCGCTGCGAGCGGGGGAATCACTAGCCGGAAGGTCTCCGCCGTAGGAGAGCGTCGCAGTGAAGTTGGGTCGACGCAAGCGAGAGCGGGACCCAGCTCTCTCCTCTCCATGGTGCGCGGGCAAAAACCTATTGGCCAAGTTTCGGCCCAGTCGAAGGGAGAAGTTTTTCAGATTCCAGTGATCCCCTTTGCAAATTGGGCTCGAACTAATTTGCGGATGCCTCGCTAAGAGTTCGACTTATCGGTTGACCGATTCGCGGAGCGACCTTTCACTGTTTCGGAGAGCGCTGTTCCCTATCCATCTTGCTCCCATCACGCGGGGGACGGCGACAGGACAGCGCAACCGAAAACACCCTGTCTCAATTGAGAGATAAACTCTGCGTTGACTGGTGTCGGGACGTAGTTTATGTCGCGTACGGCGGCGCGCTCCAGTGCTCTTGACGATGCCGCGGTCTCCCGCCGCCACGTTGCCGTGTAGCTGAATTGGTTGGCGCGCTCTCTGCCCGAGGCTAGCTTGTGTGAAGTGTCACCCCACCTTCATCAACAACTTCAGTCGGTGCCTGCGGCGAAGTCTCATTAAATGTACTTTTCTGAGCGACGGGCATGGGACAGACGCAGCTACCGCTCCTCACACTTCTTTCTAGCGTAGCGACGACCGAGCAGAAGCGGCAGAAGGACTCGGAGCCGAACTTACTCAGCCGCCCTGACCCGATGGTGGTGGAGGGGGGGGGAAGGGTTGGGGAGAAGGGAGGGGGGACCGTCGGACTCGGATAGATAGATAGAGAGGACATCGCGTCCGCAGAATTGGACAGGGAAACAGGAAGAGAGGGAGCGAGCGAGGGAGAAAGACAATCAGGACGTTGTATCTGTGTCCAACGGGCCATGCGACACGATCAAACCCGCTACTGCTTGAGTGAAAGGTACAAATGGCCCGACATTAAAGGAATCCACCGGCATGACGTCAGACCAACTAGCCAGACGGGCTGCGAGGTAATGGCACCGTCGACGGGACGGACCACTAAAACAGCAGACCGACGACGGCGAGATCAAAGCAGAGGAGACACACAGTATCCAACCATCCGTGAACCCGGTCACCTAAGGCCCATCAGGATCAACCTTGACTCAGGCATTGGTCCCAGCGGCAACATTCGCTTTGAGAAAAAAAAACTGCCAGAGCGGAGGACGTTGCTGTGACCCCGAGATTTGTTCAGTGTTTGCACTGCCTCGAATAGAGCGGTCCCGTCAGGAGAGAAGGCGGGCTGGGGCTCCTGCCGGGAACTCGCCGAATTTCGGGAATCGCCGCTGCCGTAACGGAAGATACAGGTGATCGAATAGATGCGTAAACCATGGGAGTAGATTCGTGGGCGTGATTCATGGCTCTGCAGCCTCTGCAGGCGGTCATCTAACGTACACGTCCAGTACATCCTGGAATGTAAACTGCAAAACAGAGATAATCCGTTGCGTCCCGACGAGATGGAGCTCCCGTATTCCTCATTCCCTCGCCTTTAACGAGCAGTCTTTTCGGTTCCCCACTCTCACCCAAAATTTTCCCTCTCTTTCCAGGCGACTACAGCTAACCGTTCCGGAAAAATCGCCTCGACGTCCCGTCAGCTACGATTCAACTAACAACATGTTCCTGCGCTACCTAATCGTTGCGTTGGCCGTGGTCTCGTGCGCGTCGGCCGCGGACTCGGCCTGCCACGCAAACTGCGTTTGCAAATGGAAACAGGGCAAACGCTGGGCGAGCTGTCAAGGCAAGAACATGATCACGGTACCGAACGGTCTGCCGTCGGAAATCCAAGTGATCGACTTGGAGAAGAATAACTTCCACACTCTGCCCACGAAAATATTCCAAGAGCGGGGCTTGACCAATCTGCAGAAGATCTACCTCCAGCACTGTCGACTGGGCAGGATAGCGGTGGACTCGTTGCATCAGCTGACGAATTTAGTCGAACTAGATCTTTCTCACAATCTCCTAACGGAAATTCCCACCGAGGCGTTGATGGCGGCGAGCCATCTGCGCAAGTTGCACCTGAACAACAATCCCATCTCGGAGCTGACGAACGGCTCGTTCAAAGGTCTCGACCACCTACAGCACCTATCGCTGTCCGGATGTCAAGTGCACCACATAGACGTGGCGGCTTTCGCCAGTTTAGAATCCCTGAAAGCCCTCTATCTGGACACGAATCGGCTGACGACGCTGCGTGCCGAGACAGTATCAACCCTTCCCCGGATAACCGAGCTCACTCTGACGGGGAACCCGTGGCATTGCGATTGCCATCTAGCGCCCCTGCGAAAATGGATGATCCGACGCAGTATCGGCAACCTCTACGCGCCCCACTGTGCTTCGCCCGAACGCATACGTGAGGTCTCGTGGACCGAGCTCGACGTCGAGGATTTCGCATGCCTGCCCGAAATCGCCCTACAGCTCAACATGCTCCACGTACACGTCGAGGAGGGCGCCAACGTCACTCTGGTGTGTGGCGTTCGCTCGCAGCCCGTGTCCGTGATCCGGTGGGAACCCGCTGAGATTTCGAACGAAACCTACATGGACCCGGATCGTTACCACACGAAGATCGACGACGCCCAACAGGGTCTGCAGGTGAGCTATCTCTGCATCGACCACGCTCAACTCGACGACTCAGGCGTGTATGTTTGCGTGTCAGAGAACAAGGCAGGAATTACGGCGGCCAACTTCACCCTGCATGTGACTAAGCAGCTCTTGAACCCAACCCATCTGGGTCGGACGGGAACCATTACTGTTATCGCACTTTTCGTGCTCGTGGCGATTCTCATCGCGTTGGGCCTGTGCTTTTTCGTGATGCGTCAGAGACATCGAGCCGATTCCGATACGAAGGTTCCCCCGAACCAGAGCTTCCTCAAGCAGTTGGCCGTGGTAAAAACGGTCAAGGGAGCACCGGAAGTTATTCCAGTTGTTGCTGCGAGTCCCAAATCCGAATTCGACGGGGTGGACAAGCGAGCCGAGAACGGGTCGTCGGGCTATGGCTCCGACCAAACGCCAGACCTCGTCAACAAGATCGGATTCGACAAAGAGATTCACTTATACAACGGACCCGTCGGCAACGGCTACGCGAACCCGGCCGACCCAGCGTACAGACATTCGCCGATGATGAGCCAATTGAACACGACCTACCAACAGGATGACTATGCATTGGGTCCGATACCGGGTGAGGCCGCACTTGGCGGCAGAGCGTATTCTCCAGAACCCCTACCCCCAGTACATCCCGCAAACCAAGCCGCTTGGCAGCAGCGGCAGCAGCAGCACGAGCTCCACCACCATCATCAGCAGCAGCAGCTGCAACACGAGCTGCAGGCAGCGTCAAGCGCCTTCTACAATGGGCTTGCGTCGCCCCAGCAGAGATGGACGCAGTCCGCAACTTCTCCCGTCGACGTCGGTGGCTATAGGAATTCCGCCAACCAGTCGCAAACGGTAGGAATTCCCACATCGCCATCAATGTCGCAACAAAACTGGGCACCTGCACCGGCGGTGCCACCTAGAGCACCGATGGCGGCTTTAGTGTCACCTCACGGCGATACGAGATACTCGCCCGACGAGGGTTACGCTGAAGAAACGATATGTTATGAAGGAACCGAGGTATGAATAGAGAAACTGTACTAGGTGTTTCAAAGACCCTCGGGTCCTTCTGTAATATTCTCTGTATGTATTAGCGTGCACTGAATCCTCGGGCTCGGGTCGGCGAGCGACAACGTCACCGCACGTCGCCGACCCCGCCGTGACCGGGATCACAACTCAGGGTACTTTAGTACTTTGACGCGTCCGTTGCTACTGTACGCCAGTCGGTGAGGTGGTATCACATCGTTCCGCCGGTGTTTTTTTCTAAACGACGACGATCACCGACGGGAGCGGATGAAAACTTTAGCCACCGCCGATATTAAGGTGCTCAACGCGAGCGGTGACTTCTGTACATACGATTTACATAAATGAATACAGACAAACAGACCCGTACTTAATTGTATTGTATGTAGAAATCGCGATGGAGAGCTGAAACAACGACAGATAAATTGAATCAAGGCTCTTCCAAGTGAAAAAAACAACCTCGAGACAAATAGAAGCCTGTCAATGACTGTACATAGAAATGTGTCCTCTTCTTTACCCACTCGACCGAGCCCACTCACCCGTTCCTTGGAATTGTTGGAAGAATGCAGATGCCCCCCACACTGATTCAGCAATTACGAACGGTATTTGTGTCATTCACGCGCTAACTCTCTCATTGTAAGTTACTCATGGCAACTACACCCGCCCGGCGCTGTTTGAAGCCGCCGAGTCCCATCGAATCATTCATCGACCGATTCCAAAGAAACGAAGGAAAAACGAACACTGAAGTCACGATCGATGATCAAGCATCCTCCCCGAGAAGCCAAGGGATCGTGTGCATCGTGCTCCGAATCGCATTTTACCAGTCTCTAATCTATTACCGCTTCCGACAAAGTTCGAGTCACCCACCGAAATTTGGGCGACCCTCGAGTCCCCGGGTCCGAGGCCAGAATCGGCTGCAGACAGCTCAGGTACTTTTATTCCGGTACACTCTTCGAAACAAGCGTGGCCGAAGGTAATTTCGGAGGGTCGGTCGGTCGGAAGGGAATTCATCAATAATTATTGGTCCGGATTGAATGTTCGTTGATAGATGAATTGGACACTGTCAACGGAGAGATCATGTACGTGAGCGCGTGAGCAGAGTGTTTATAGTAGAGAGTATTCTGTACAAACCCCTTGATGATTTTAGAGTGACAAAGGAAACCCTAAACGCCTCTCTCCCCACCTTATTCGGTCAGATGAGTTTCTACTTTCGCGCTAAGTTCAATCGTTTCGAGTATCCGCGAGGCGTCGGGTGACGCCGTCTGCCGCAGTGACCATTCATAGATTACGGCGTACGGAAATAATGTTCTCGAGCACCGTCCAGCTGAGCTCCACGATAGTCGTCCTCTCGAGCGCCACGGTGATGGGTATTGAAGCAGGCGTGAGAAACGGATAGGGAAGGACGCAGCTGTTATCTTCATCATCGTCGCATCGATAACGAACCACGAGTCGCCATTGAATCTCTATGTTTCGAACGGAAAAATAGTATGTTGCGGAACAAATAGGAATTTTCCATGATTTCCGGAGAAAAACACCGCGGGCAGACGGCGTTTTGTTTGTAAAATATGAATCGACGACGGACTGTGACAATAATTGATCCCTCGAGCAAGAACCCCACAAAACATCAACACATCCATCTCATACAGAATGGGAGTCACGTAAAAATTCAGCAATCCGAAAAAGAGTTCCAGGCGCTCATTGAGAAAAACGGAAAATGTGAAAGGGCTCCACGACGACATGTGAACGCAGGTCTGGAGCGGCGAAAAGCGTGTATGGACCCGAATATGACAAATAATATAATTCTAATTTATAAACATTAATATGTATTGATGAATAAAGTACATACGATGTCATAGTAAACCGGAAATCGTCGGCGTGTTCTCTCCAGGTACGATCTAGTTTTCGATGGTTTCTGGCGCGTGCGGATCTCTCAGCGTGGGCAACACGGGTCTTCGAGGTCGATTACTAAATCTTTGAACTACATATCGCTCGAAAACGATTTGCGCGGACCCGTGAGAGAGAGAGAGACGGGTAGATGATTGATGCCTAAAGCGATCCAGTGGAGGTCGCTCGTGACTCGTGACTTGCGCATTTGAGGAATTTTTTCGCTCCTCCTCTGCTGGCCATGATTCCGGCTCTGGGCCATACTGATAGCCGATATGCCCGGGAGAACGATCCCCGTTCAAGGACCAGCTGATTCCACTCTGGCAGAAGGGGATGAACGAATATCTTCTTCCCAAAACTTCTCCAACGCATGCTCGGATTTTTTTTTCTCATTGTACGTTGGCAAGGAGCTTGTCGCCAACGGAAGATCACTCGACGAGAGACCTTGAACTGAAATCTCTGCGAGGCTCCGGTCCAGGTGAATTTTTCACAAGTACAGGATTAGATCGCAGTGTATACGAAATGCTGCCACGTCATGGGCGTTGTCACTTTCTTTTCGAGGTCGGTCGGACGCATTTCCAAGGATGTGATCGGGGTTCGGAGAAAAGTTTTTCAGGGTTCACTGAGTGAGACACATCTCCTCTCCGTAGGTACTTCCCGCTCTTCCCGGTGTCTGCATCGCTCGCGTCGTCTCTCGAAGCAGTCTAATCAAGCTCCTGCGACGAGAGATTTTCGGACTGCACCCCGAGATATGGAAGTTTCCAGATGCTTCTCGTGCCAAACTCTGCAACGAAGAAGAATCGTCCCCGGTACCGCCGCAGTGATTCCGGCGATGGAGTTTTTCGTCTCATCAGAGTTATCCAGGAAGAAGGAGAGAGTTTCTTCCACGTTCCCACAATGGAACCTAGTGGATCCTTCGAGGATGCTTCAAATAAACCCGACGATACTCCCTCGAATCCTTTCTGCCGGAGAGGTCCCAGGGACCGAGGGTCAAACTGTTTCTACGCTCCATAATGGCATCGAGTTTCCCTTCTCTTTTTCCGCCTCCAAAATAAATTGCTTCAGAATCAATTTGCTAGTTCGATGCTCCGGAGATCCTGGTTGTCCGGTATCTCGGGTCGTCGCATCGGTTGCGGTTCGCCCGTTACGAGCTAAGTTGAAGGGAAAGAAAGAAGTGCGTTCCGGAATCTGCGAGCTGCCCTCAGTTGTTCGCTCCGATTCGCGACGAGGGAAGGAATCCCGAGCGATCCCGACAGAAGCAAGCATCCTCGAAGAGCTCTGGGGACTAGGCAATTTCCCGGGAAATTCCGGACCTCTCAGGGAGAGGCCTCTCATCTTTCGACGTCTAATCTGATGTACGGCGGAAAAGCCTTCGCTCCCTGTAGCACGGCAGGAGCCAAAATCCGAGAGCTTCCATCGAGTTCCTTTGCTTGCGATACGCTCATCACTCTATTCACTTAGGTGTTCACCGCCTACTGGTCGGGAGGAAGAGTCGATTTTCTTCTCCATGAATGGATGCATCAGAGTTCGGAGCATCTGACGTGATCCGCGTGCTCAACATGAGCATAAGTTTACGTGTGACATCGCTTCATAACTCGAATTAACAAGCTCGATGGCGTCTCGTGTCTTGGATCGTCGCCGAGGCGCTGCGTGAAACGTTCGCTCCTTCGCCGGGGGTTTTACCTCGTGAGGTTTTCACTTGGGCCAATGCTTTCGCAATTACATCGAGGTTGCGAAACTTTCGTCTACCGTCATCGAGGCGTCCTCGAAAAAAAAAACCGAGTCTGAACGATAACAGAGATCTACGGAATCGCGGGAAATCTACGTGATCGGTGAGCACAGCTCCGAGCAGCAGGTCGTGCGCGCTAACGACCCAACTCGCAAACGAACGAGCGAGCGCACAGGCATGCGAGCTAAACCCGCGCTTGATCCAATACGGCTGATACGGATCTCCGCCGCCCTCTTCCTCTCTTTCCGTCCTAACGGATCTCAATGAGGCCACTGGTCAAGAGCCCTGGGGATCTACGCAGGTCTGTCCAGTGAATGATGTAGGTATGCTGCTACCCGGCAACCGAACGACTGACCGAACGGCGCAGCCCGGATATCCAAAACACACTTTGCTCTTACCGAATGGACTTTTTCGCTTCATCGAGACAGCGGCGGCTCTCCCGTCGCATTCCGCGGAACCCGCGCCAACGAGACCGCATCGCCGGATGTACCGGTCGAACGTCACCGAAGAGTTCCCTGAGACTTCGATTCGCGTTCCTTTCTCATGACTGCGATGACGATGCTGGCTCGGTCGGTAACTGACGAAATTGTTTACTTAACCCGTCTTCAAATCTGTTGACCGATTAAACATTCGGGAAGACAGGCGGCTGACAGCGAGGCAGGTTCCTAAGCCGAGAGACTTTACAGGTTGTCAACAATTCTCTGGAAACCACTTGCAACGCCCGCTGATGCGAGGAACAAAATGCTGCTACAGTGTGTGCGAACACACAGTCTAGCGTTGTGACTGAGAGATCTGAGTGAGTCAACACCCTCCAATTCGGAAGGAGGCTTCGGAGACACGCGCCGGACCAGAGGGGTTTTCACGAATCCGAACGGCTTCGATTCAGCGACGAAAAAATATGCTCACGGGAGGATACACACGAGGAGATGTACTCTGTTCAGATCACGACCCAACAACTTGAGATCGGGTCGCTCGATCAACTCGTGGAAATTCTTTCGAAATTGAATTTCTCGGCTCTGACGTCGGTTAGCGATACACAATGTTGATATCAAATCAGTCGTTGAGAGTTGTTAGACAAGCGTGGGAGGCTCAAGGTTGTCTCGCGAGAACTATGGTCTTTTTTAATCAACGGTGCTCAGCCATCGCTGCAAGCCATCTATTGTAAGATCTCGCTAAATTCGTTCAAGATCTGTCTCGCAGTCCTTGACCTTGCGAGCAGACACGTTTTCGAATCGCCTCGTCGCGCTCCGTGGAAGCATTGATTGCAGCCGATTCGGGCTGTACTCAAACTAAACTCTAGACTCGGCCGAATCGCTATCTGATTCTTTGTTCTTGAAGCACATTTCGTACGTGATAACAGAGACTCGCGAACGCTCGACCTACGATGGTC